GCATAATCTTCAGTGGTTACTAAAATATCGCAGTTTTCGTATTTCTGAAAATTACCGTTATATAGGAGGCAGGCGTGGTTATTGTCCGATTTTGCCCATTTTCAATACCATCCGTCCCACGCCCGAAAGAAGTGCACGTGCCAAGTTTCGTTAATATATCTCAATGTTTACTCGAGTTATCGTGTGCACAGACGGACGGACGGACAGACAGTCACCGCTTAATCGATTTCTCTTTCCATTGTGATCATTTATGTATACATTTGTCTATATCTATCTCGATTCGTTTTGCCTGTTTCAAACAACCGTTATGTGAACAAAGTTATAATACCCTTGTGCACAAGTGCGCTCGGGTATAAAAAGCGTTCACTCTTCTATGTGGACATAAGCAAAACTAAAACGGGGAATCACGGAATTTGAAAAAGCGTTCGCCACGTGTTTCTGTATCTTTCACACTTAAAAAATGTAATGACAGCATGTTTGAAACATCCAACGATGCAGATAATTCAAAGGTAGATCTCGGATTCTAAAACCTGTGATCAGATGAGATGCAACTTAGGTATTGCCTGGTTTTATATTTGCTTTGGTATCTACCTAATAGCCACTTATGTACGTCAGCGGCGCTGCCGCTGTCGCACCAAAACCTCTCGGCGTGAACTGTTAGGGTACAGAAACGGTTTTAAAATACATAGCACTAGCTAAGACTGAAAAACTGTAAAGTCATTTTTTTAACTTTTCCGTAGAGGAAAAAACTACTCAGCAAATTTTTCTCAAAACTTTGAATACAACACTTTTGCGTATTCAAAGCAAAACAAACCTCCATAAGAATCGATAGAATTCGACGTTATTGAAAGGTTTTCATATTAATTTGGTCTTTACGAATTTTCTGTGCCTCTTCGTAAGTGAAAACCTTGTCAGGTCTCCTCGTTATGTCACATGCTTGACATGTCACCCATGCCTGACATGGTAGACTGTATTTCTCTTTGTTTCTTATAGTTTACGCCGCTCAATTTCATCGACTTTTTCAAGAACTGAAGTTTTTACGATAGCTAATGCAGCAGTGTGAACACATATGTATGTGGTAGATCTACCACATATTTTTTTCAATTTGGGTTTCTACCACATCTACCACACAAGGCTTAAAACCTACCTCATTTTTAGACAGAACATTTGTTTACAATTTTCACATAACTCTAAAAATTCAACTCAATTCTAATAAGAAATATAAAAATTAATCAATAGATTTCATGAATCATGAATTTGGCTTTAAATATATCTGTGCTTTAACTTTTTAATATTTCAGAAATCCGCATATTTATATCTGCTTAAGTATTATGCAATGGAAAGGTGTTAATCATACATACGCAAAAATAAAATTTTGTTAAAGTGTCGTATATTTTACCAACTTAATAAAATGGGTTGCTAGTCTGAACTGTAAACTTTTTAAGTCTGGTAAAACACGCACAAATACTTAATTCTTAATTACATACTATGTGTATACAATATACATACATTTGTACACGACACGCACCATCTTCAAAAGAGGCACAACCAAAAAAATAAAATGTGGTCCACTTTTTTGCATAAATCAATTCGAAGGGATTTTCTCAAATTATTGAAAATATTTTTTTCTTATGCTTATATTTTCTAACTAGAAAATTAGTGGTATACTTGCTTTTGTATCACTTGCGTTGAATCTGTACGATCCACAAGCAATTATGTGCGTTGTTTATACCCAATAAAAATATGAATTGGAAAATCTACCACATCTTCTACCACACTAAAATAAATCGGGGTTTACAGACTGAAATGCGGTCAATCCAAGTCAGTAATAATGGCAGGCTTCTCTGTAAAGCAGTAACGACGAGTATGGGTATATAAATTTCCATAAAAGGCGATAGCCTAGCTTTTTTTATTATATTGTGGTTGGCACGCTTGCCTGGTTACCAGGTTTTTATTAAGTTTACTAAAATAAAATACGTGCACAATAATAATTTTTACCCAGATAACCTGATAACCAGGCAAGTGTGAACAACCTCAATGTTTTTCTCCGTGGTGTACGAGCATTTATGTATGTACATATGTATGTATGTCCATACATTCTTACGCAGTAGTCGGAACAGAGCTTTGGCTGGTAAACAAACATTGCCCTTCCGTATACCGGTAATCACACATCCGGGCTTTGACACTGCTACACGCAAAGCTCATGGCTGCAAGCTTGACTGTTATCAGATTTCGATTTGGGCGCAGCGTGGGTGGTGGTTGAATACATGAACGCAATTTCGCCAACGGCTTTGTTGTAGCCCCTATTGGTCGATTAGGGCGAGCAGCAATGCTTGTAGTATGTACATAGCTTCCGCTTTTGGCACATAGTAATGAGCAAAAAACTTCATTGCGATATTCAAACTGGTCTGATGTTATATAACAGTGTAACCAAGATAATTTCGCGCCAGTTCGGCAACAGGTTCTTGGACTGCTAACCCACATCAGAACTCTATAGTGATGTTGAAAATATATCTAACTGTGTTAATATTTAATGGTGTGGGTGGCCAAATCAGCTGTAAGTTTTGTTGTGAATAGTGAATATGAAATCAAAGTAAAAACATAATAAAATGATAGAGATCGAATAAGTTAAAACTCTACACATATGTATAGATATACATATGTAAGTATGTAAACACGCAAATATGCATTATTTGTTTACGTCAATATAAATATTTGCAGTGCATAAATACATACTTATGTACACTATAAATCATTACCTTTATATATTAAAGCCCTAAATAATTGTTTTCGAAATTCAGCTTTGTTTCGGTAGGTTTCTCACTAAAGGCCTAATAGAATTTAAAAACCATTTATTTACTACATCAATAAATTCGTTTTACAGCCAATTTCACGAAAGGAATTTAAATGAAAAATCATTTTTATTTTTTGAATTTGATATGGAAATAGAAAGAAAATAAAAAATCATTTTCCATTTAAATTGCTGGTGAAACCGGCTGTTAGAGTTTACTAAAACCTAGGATTTCTATATTAGGGTAGATAACAATATATGTATACTTATTTATATTCATTATATTTTTCATGTCAAATATAAAGGAATAAAACAAATCAGATAAAAAATTATGTAATTTCGGAAGGCATTTTTTATTTTTAAGGCATCAATTATTTTCTTCATTTTAGCTGTTTTGAAAAACATATGTAAATGTTTCAGACAGTTGTCTGAAATACATAAATAGTGACAGAAAACATCTTTTCAACATTTTGCATCTCGGAAATGAAAATCTTCGAAGAAGTTACGGAGTTATTGAAAACTTGTTGAAAATTATATAAAAAAAAATCTAGCGAATTTGAACTTAAAGCTAACAGGCTAACCTAATATTCGCGGCTTGCGTTTTGGTACGCATGCCGTCGAATTTGTTTTTTTGCGTCACCCAAAATTGACTTGCATGCGTTTGCATTTGATTTCATTGAGCGAAACGTCAAATCAAAATGTCACGCAGAACAAAAATTGGAAATTGAGTTAGCTTCATACGCACGCCGTTCAATTTCGGTTGATCTCATACAAGTTGCATGTGCATGAGAAATTTTTGACAATAAATTGGCGGCGTGCGTGAATATTAGGTTAGCCGGTAAGATCCCATTATCGGCACAATGGGCCGATTTTCGGCGCATTTCATATACCAATAGTGTGAGCAAACACAATCTGAGCTGCTCTGACGCTGCTCTCATGAGAACCCAACTTTTAAACTTCAACTTGTTTTATTTTTATTTCCTATATTTCGTTACTGTTGGAAATGTCATGTCGTTTTATTTTGAATGTTCGTTAACATGGTGGAATTATACAAGGTGTTGTACGTAGTGACAGCTCATGTCGACAGCTCCCTTACAAAAGGTTGTAATATGGAAGCACGAGAGAAACGGGAAGAAAAAAAGCCCGCTTTGCGAAGTAGTACGAAATTTGGTACTATTTTTCATATAAAATTTTGCAATTAAATAGTTACAAACGGTATATTATGATAAGCTAAATTCGCGAAAGTAGTATATATAACGTAGTAGTTATGCAATAAATGGTAATTTAGTTTATTAAACACAATGTCCTATAATTATAGTCAAACTTCCAAAACCAAAAAGTTAGTGGTGACCCCCGAGTCGTTACAACATGACGGAATCGACAAAAGGGCGCATCGACGGATGGGGAGAATATTTCATCGAACAAAATGCCAACTAAAGATGTGGAGCTTGCATCGCAATGCAAGCTGTGACCGTTCTGAACTGAGAATATAATCTGGTCCTCTCAGCAATTAGCAGCGATGCTTTAAAGGAAGCTGCGGATGTTTTAAAAACCTTACCAACTCAAGACCGATATATTAACCTCAAAAGTCAACTACTGTCACGTTTTACTGATTCAGCCGACCCACATAGGGTATTTGGCTGATTTAGGCATATTTTTATCGCTACAAACATCAAATATAGTTTTAGTTATCAAATAAAACATTCACTATAACTACCCTGTTACTAATAGAAAATTCAATCGTAGTGAAATCTTATTGTCAATATTATTGTGGCTTATTAACATTTGTTTCCATATTGTTATTGAGCTTTGTAGCACTATTATGTTTTTAGGGAAAAGGGAAAAAGCAACAAAGTCTTAGCGGTAGAAGTTACCAAAAAAACAGTTATATCGTTGGAAAAGCAGGGCCAGTGGCAGTGAACCACAGACGGGATTGCAGCAGCAAAAATCACTGGGGAATAGATGCATAGTTAAATACGTAGTTCTTGTTTAAATCTTCCATCTAAACTTACCAAGAAAACAGTTATATCGTTGAAAAAGCAAGGCCAGTGGCAGTGAACCACAGACGGAATTGCAGCGGAAGGAAGCACCGACCAAAATAACCACAAATCCTTGGGGAGAACTCTAAACCGATGTTTTTTTGCCGAATTAATGTTGAAATTTCTAATTTAATTTTCAGTTGCCAACGATAAGAATAGAGTAAATGTCAAAGAATTGTTCAGTGATTGTAAATCAGTTTTGGAATAGGGAATGAGGTAGTTTAGTACTTTTTTAAAGGCGATAAAATGTAGTTTTTTCAAGAGGGAAACACTGATATAGCTAAGGGAGCCAAGATGGCGGATTAGAGCGAGAACGCTGTCAATATCCAACACCTTGTATTATTCCACCATGGTTCGTTAATGTGAAACTTTTGTTCACTTTTGAATTTTAGCAGTGCTGTGCGGTTTAAATTTATGTAAATGTAATTGTGCGGTTTATACCAATATAAAATGTGTAATAATTAATTGTCGTGCTAACTGTAATCTACGCACCACTCATTTTCTGAGGTGCCTCAATGTTTTTGGCGGTAGGAGCATTGGGAAAGCAGCTGTATCGTAGAGCCTAATGCCTAAATTCACCGGGATGTACAGCGTGGCGACGAATAACTGTTACCCCGGTTTTTTTTGAGAAATAAAAGGGTCCTTTATAGATTTTGCGAAACAAGTATTTTATTGTTAATTTTCCACAGTTTTTACTTTAGTTGTATTAATTAGTTTTTAAATTTCAATCCTTATTTACATTTGCCAGCAGTGTAAACTTTGAGAGAAAAGTTCATTTGGCAGGCAGGTCTTCGTCAGTTAATTTATTCCATATCTTCTGTAACCATAGGCAAATTTTCTCAATTTTGAATCCCTTATACTCCCCCTTTTGTCCAACATAAGGCCTCATACTT